AGCATTGAATAAACCTCTTACTTGTTCCTATGTTAAGCTTAGTTTAACTTTTCAGTGCATCAAAAACAGTTACTGTTTATTGTGCATGGATATTGCAGTATTTTTAAATATTCATCACATATAAAGTCGGTATGCCTTGATAGGGAAGATAATACATATTTTAACCTTAACCAAAAGCAACCTGTTGCACAGACATGGCCGGTATGGTCTTGTAGGTTATTATATGTGAAGGAGTAATCAGATCTTTTGTCTGCTGAATTTTGGAGCATGATAATCAAGATTGGTTTGGGTCACTGTCTCGTGCTGTTACAAATCCTTCATTAAATTAGGCATGTAAACAACAAAAAAATTATCCCAGCATGTGAGTGTATGTTTTGAATCCTGATCTAAAAATTCAAAACAAAGAACATTTTTGGGGAGCTAATAATTACCAAAAATAATTAGAAAACCTAGCCTGCTTGCAAAGAAGCAAAGAATGTGAAAATGACTGCCATGTGTGTCATGTAAGCCATTCATGTGCCAGGGACAGTAAGTGACTTTCTTTTCTTTCAAGTGGTCTTGCAACACGGAAAGGCCCTTTAGACTAAAAATATGCAAACATTGTCAAGCTGCTCTATTTCCTCCACAGAAACAATATTTTGGGATTCCCATTGGGAACTAGCATATTTTCCACATGCCTTGACATTATAAAAGAAAATAGAGCCTAGACATTTGCAACACTTGTGGTTGCAGTTCGTGGTATTTAGGAGACCTGCTTTACATTTGTTTTCTGTACGCTGTTCAGAACATTCGGCTCACGGTATCAGTCCCTTATGTTGCCGGGTTTCTCGTACAGATGTGCTTGAATTCTGTCCAGTTAAAGCCCTTTGCAGATTATTCCAGAAAGAGTTACCAGTTTTGTATCCCATCTTTGTTTCCAGCTGTGTATAATGAGATGTGAAAGTTCACATAAACACAGTGTAAAGTGTAAATTCAAGCTGCCTGCCATGCACGTTCGGATGTCTGTACGAGTCTATTTTATTTAAAATCCTTATGTAGTCCGTTGTTTTCTGCTCACCAGAATCTGAGGAAACCTGATTTCTGTACTTCACTCTACTCTACTCTGTACATTGCTAAGCTTCCTTGGAACTTTGTTTTATCCCAGATTTCTCAAGGACTGGTCCATACTGTTTGCAACTGTTTTTTAATATATTAAGTCTTCAGTTTGCTCAAAGAAGAAGTTAGTCTGGGTTTTGCAAGTATTTGTTTCTTGTCGTGTTGGTCTTGCTGTGTCAGCAGTTGGAGGCTGACAAGTTGGCTTGAGATTGGACAAATAGACATCTCGTACACAGATTGTGGTCTTCTGTTTGCTGTGTCACATGATATTATCATGTAACATTAACACTGGGACTCTCGAAGCCTGATCTGTTGGGCATCATGGGACTTCACATGACACTAAATACAATTAATCTTGCTTGAGTTTGGATCCAGCATCCTTATGGATTCCCTAAAGATATCCTTTAGCAGTCTGGAACCCTGTTTATTTCTTAGGCATCTAAGCATCAGAATGTTACAGTCAAAGTTCCCTGTAGATCCCTAGTACACACAAAATCAGTTCAATCATGGTCTTGCCAGTCCAAAGCAAACAGTTAGGCCAGCTGCCACTTGTTTTGGTGGTTGTTCTCAGACACTTATTCTTTTTACTACTAAACACTGACATATTTCTCAAGCACTGCTGGTCTGTCATGGAAAACTATTCACCAGCAGTTTGCATTCGTCAGCCAGTCAAAAATCTGAACCTCCCCCCCTCTTCATGAAATGAAAAAAGAAAAACAAGACATTAAAATAAACCTCAAATTTCGAAATCTATTGTGCCGTACTGCCACCTTGGTATAACATTTGTCTTGAAGATTGTTTTTGGGGGGGCTTCTGATTTATTTGAGAATGGAGAGAGAAGTGGGGCGTCTGTGCCTGAAGCACTTGAACCCGTGCCGGTTCCCGTTGGCGTTTTCACCCCGGTGATTGGAAACGGATGGCTCACAGTGTGTGAAAAGGACAGAGAGCCTCATGCATAATGAGAGTCGAATTAGAAAACATAAGCAAAATCAAGCTTGCCTGAGTCATCTGTATATGCTGATTAAGTACACAAATGTGCAATCTGCTAAACAAGAATGTGAAGTGGTGGATTAAACAAAAAAAAACCTTCTTTAAATTAAACTTTAAAGAACGAGAGACTGATTCTGTAAGCAAGAGCATCACCAATGGGGAGTATCAGGAAGGACACGTGCCAGCCTTGATTCCTCTCGCTCTCACTTTCTGCATAAGACCATGGAGGCAGAGGCAGATGGGTACTTGCAATTGAATTAATAACCATTCGTGAAAATTAACATGGAATAAAATTGCAAAAGCAGAGTCTGGGTGACTCTGGAGTAGCTCAGCCAGTAGGGGCACTTGCTCAGAGCAGAGATGAGCTCTGGGTCCCAGATGGAACAAGTTTGAATGTTAGTTGTACCACCTAGGATTTCTGGTCAAGCAGCTGGGCCCAATCGGCACAGTACTTTCATGCTTTTCTCATAGGTAGTGACTTGTAACTTGCTGGGTGCCTGAACTCAATATAGGGTGTTTTTTTAAGAAGCTGTGTAACCTGTAGATTGTGACGAACTTTCTTTGTTTGAAACCTGGATGCCTGAACTCAGAACTCAAGTTTGATGTGCTTCACTCGGTGTAGGCTAGGGAGGGAATGCACTTGCACAGTCGGGCTAGTTGATGCCTAACAACTCACATTTCCTATTCCTGCAAGTGTGGTTGACATTCCCAAGTCAGTCTTCATTTTATGTGAAGTTTAAGGTGACTAGGAGGTTCGTATTTATTTCCATAAACCCATTGGTTACACTGTTTTGTTTGAGTGAAAATAAGCAAAGGTCATTTCTGTCAGCTTACTCACTCATGTGGAATGGAACACGCATTTCCTTACAAAAGACCTTAATGAGATACCCGCATAATGTGTGTCAGATGTTCTCCTGTGGATTGAACTTTGTGCTACCATGCACTTACTTTACATTGGTCACAGAGTGTGCCACTTTTTCAGTGATTGGAACAGATTGCTGAGAAGTGGGTAAGCATAGCTCTGAATCAGATAATGCAGAGGAAGATGAAAGCCAAACACTCACCCTTAGAATAACAAGGAACATTAAAGATGTAAAGGTTTTATATACAAGACACTGTCAACTTGCAAGGGCTTTCTTTACATTGTCTGACTGTCCACAGACTTTCCTATGAGTTTAGCTTGCTGTGTGAAACTGTAATGGTAGATATATTATTCCTTATCTGTTCTGCTCAACTTCCATCATTGGATTGTTTTGCACTGCGACTTCATTTTTGACAGGTCGCACATCTCTTTCTCATGCTGTGTCTTTAGTTTTACTGTGATGTGCAGTGCTGGCTCAGGTGATTTCTCAGTATGAACCTATGCTTTAAGAAATCTAAACTAGAAAGAGAATTGCCTCAGATTTGATCTTTCTTGTTTTATAAGTTCTGGGGCCGAAAGCTGAAACACCCAGCAAGATTAGTTTGTTTGCCTATACTGTTATAAAGAAATTGAACGTAGAGGGGGTGTATTTTAGGGACATATATACATCTCTTGAGGAAAAGAGGTCAACCTAAAGGCAATATAAGTTTAAAACAGATTTTCGTATGGTATTCTTGTATAGTAAAAATCACATTACAGCACTTGGTGAACAGTGTTTCAGGTGTTTTTCTTGACTTGAATCCTGCTGTGTTTACTGGCTCAGTATAACAGATAGATAGGACTTAAATAAACCTCTTGAGGAAAATAAAAACTAAAAGAAATTTAAGCTTAAAACTGATTTTCCTACGGTAATCTTGTATATAAAAATCACATTACAGCACTTGGCAAATAGCTTTTCAGGTGTTTTTCTTGACTTGAATCCTGCTGCATTTACTGGCTCAGTGTAACAGATAAATAGGACTTAAGTCTGAACATGAAACCTCATTCTGTTTTGGTTCATCTACAAATGCCAAGAAGAAATAGACTGTACCTCTTGGTTATCATGAGAACCACATTTCATTTCCATCCAAACTGCAATTGCTTGGGGTTCGGGAGGCCATCTGAGCTGTTCCTCTTTATTTCTTCTAAAATGTATTTTTTAATCTTACCGAGAATTGGCTTCATCTGGAAGTAAACATGTGGTAGCGCTTATATGACCGTTGAAAAATTACTGATGGTTTTATTTGTCTGGAGATGCTGATTTTTAAATAGCTTCCATAGCGTGTGTTGGAGGAAAACCATTACCCGTCTTGTGAAACTTGTCAACTATCAATGTTTAGATGAGTAAGTTGTTCATAGTTCATACCTGTTCATTATTTGGACAATCCCATACTCTAATATTTGTGTCAAGTTCTGTTCATTAAGATTCAAATGAACATGGTCTTTACTGTTTAGAAACAACATTAACAGTGACACCTGTACAGGATTATTGGCTACAGATAGCTGTTATTTAATCAAATAGAGCTACTGAAGTGCAAAATTAGCAGGAAATGGTCCATGAATGACAACTGAATCCTAGTTCATAATTTGGGCAAATGTTTTTTTCTGACATGGAAATTAAAGAATGGCCACATAATAGAGTCATGTCAACCAGTTTTTTGCTACTCTTTCATGCTCCTGGTTTTGTGAATCATGTATCAGAAAAGCATCAGCCTGTGGATTCACTTGCAAATGCACAACAGAAGCCTTCACTGAGCTCTGATTTTTATGTTTTACTAAGAGAGTGTTTTGAATGTGAGATTTGTGTTCTTCTTTTTCCCCTCTCTGTCTGATTGACAAGGGAGAGAGAAGTAAACATATAGTTTTAAACTACGTATATGTCCAGTATTTGGCTCACACCTCTGTTTTGCTCATGGTTCATTCTTCATGAGGCAAAAAGAAAGGGAATGTGTAAGTCTGTTGGCTGTATTTTTGGTCAGTGTTTGACCAGTCTCTGATGTGTCTTTTCTTTCAGGGGGCAGAGACTTTGACTCCCACCTTACAGTCAGACATGGAGATCAAGCATGGAGCCATCCAGATCCAGCAGGGTGAAAATGGAGAGGTTGTGCAGATACAGATGCCAGTCAACAGTGTGGGCAGCTGAGAGGACACAGCCAGCATTCAGAAACCAGCGATCTTGAGCCATGGATGATATAGGCCTAAAAGCATGAAGCTAATTTTGCAGGTTGGAATAAAAAAACTGGACCTTCAGCAATAACAACTTTCCCTTCCTATTGGTCAAGGAGCAGAATCCAAGCTTCAAAATCCACATTAGAGACAAACTAAAGGACACTGTTTTAAATGTTCTTTCAAAGAGTCTTCTTCTAAATTTAGCTAGTGCATCTTCTGGCAGAAGAAAAAATGAACACAGTGCAATTTGGTGCAAACAGCTTTTCAAGTCACTTGAGACACAAAAAAGTACTAACTGTGCAAAAGCAAATCTTGTTGAAAGGGTGCTACACTGAATTGTAGTTCCCCGTCTTTTTTCATTTTGTTGTGTCATTTATTTGAGTTTGTCTTCCTTTTTTCCATATTGAACGTACTTTACTGTGCGTAGAAGAGTAGGGGAAAGCTTATGGATAGATAAAGTAATGGATTCATTCAAAGGTTAGGACATTTTTTTGTTTACTTAATGGGATTTCTTTAAGTGAATAAACACACTTTTTGTTGTTTGCTAAGGGAGACAGATACTCTCCATGTTTCCTGACATTTATTCTGTTTGGCATGAACATTGGTCAGACCTACAGTATATTGAGGAGACAGGGCAGTTTAACCTACTTTCTCCACTAGTTGTGCTGAAAAATGTGTACGAAATTACAAGGCTTTATCTACATGAAGCGGTGCACTGAAAAGTTTGTCAGTTGTGGGTCCAATACAAGATAACTGAGGATGGTAATTTGTCATTTGCTATTCACCTACATTGTTTTTCTGAAAGAGGACTATAGTCTACACTGTACATCACTTGCCAACTAGTTGTTTCAAATTAAATTAGTTACAGTATTATCTTTTCACACTGCTATTTAATGGATTAAGTGACTCTGTGAGCAGTGAGCAAGAGCTCTGTGACTCAGGATCTGAGCCTGTGGCTGGAAGGTTGTTGCTGGTTTGATCCCGCGGCTGGCAGAGGAATCTACTCCTTTGGGCCCCTGAGCAAGGCCCTTAACCCCGACTGCTCCAGGGGCGCCGTATAAATGGCTGACCCTGCGCTCTGACCCCCAGCTTCTCTCCCCGTCTGTGTGTCTCATGGAGAGCAAGCTGAGGTCTGCGAAAAGACAAATTCCTAATACGAGAAATTGTATAGAGCATGGCCAATAAAGTGATAAAGTAAAGTAAAAGTAAAGTAAAATAATATTAGAATGTGACATAGAAATGGTGCATTTTTTTCCAAATGGATTTTTAAGTAGCTTTATGTGAATACAGCAGAACAGTTTCACTTACTTCTAAAGCATTTAGTGAATCTCTTCCATGAATTTCGGCTGAACTGATATCAGAATTTCTGTTGGTCCTGAAAAATATTCGACTTTGCATATGATATTCTTATTATTCTTTCAGAAATGGATTCTCATTCATCAACATACATTCAAGTACTTATTAAAAAATGAAGGTTGCCATGACCCTGTGTTGTATGGAGACCTACAATTAACTGCTGTTATGTACAGTATAGGATACAATACAAACTCACACAGAAAGGGAAATTTCTGAGATGCACTGTTAAATAAATTTGCATGTGCTGGGGATCTCTTGGCTTAGTTTTAGGCACACATAAGCAAAGCAACTGATCATACAGTAGAGTCAGCAGAATTTCTTGTAATCTTGTGTATGATAGTAATATTGCACATACAGAAGTATTCTGTTTCGAAATCTAGGATTCTTTCTTGCTAAAAAGTTGTTCATAAGTTGCAGTTAGTCTGTAGGTTCTGAGAGATTTACAGTTCAGTTTGAATGATCTGATCAAACGTTATTTTGTAAATCAATCTCAGAAGTTCTTGACAAACATATCAACTGCTAGCAAAACGTGAAATGCGTCTCCTGATAAAAGTCAGTTTGGGTATTCTGCAACTGAAATATTTAACTGTGAACAATAGATATTTTACAGAAAAGACTCCTAAGCATCTGTGATAAATAAATAAGGGAGAGAGGAAAAACATCTACAGTATAGCAAAGATAACCCTAACAGTTTCTTGATTTACAGTAGCCTGTAAATTTTCTGTTCATTGTTTAGTTCCTGACAAGTGTTTCTACAATCAGCCATTTGTAAAAAGATCTCCCTGAAAAAACAAAACACCCCAAATATATTTGGCGTTTCTTTTAGTAATCTACACACTATGTTATCAACCAGAACTGTTTGAACAAGAGACAAAAGATTGCTGATCACAGAATATTTCACAGCACTGAGACCCATCGTTAGCCTTAGCGACTGCTTGCAATGACTTATTGGACGTTTTACTCCCTTTTGATTGGCCAGGTGACCAGGGAAGCGGTATGTCTTTCCTCTTGCAGGTTCCACATCGCTGTGACCCTTATCATGAACCGGGGGCTTTCAGATAATGAATCAAATCAACGCCTTGTTTAAACTTACAGCTACAACTTCCTGCCAGGGAGGAAAGAGGGCATGCAGACATGGTCCTGTGACACGCACACCTGTCAGAGTGGTTTACTTTTTGACTTCTCCAAATGCCAGCCCGCCTTATAGGAGAGTCAGCGTCAGTTTTAGGGGCGGCGTGACTCTCGCCAATGTGACTGCGAGACTGCACACACCCAGGAAGTCCCAGTCGTGGCTTTTTTTGTTGAAACTTGAAAACATCCTACAGTAGCTACCCTGCGGTGGTCAGTCTCTGCCGGTTTGTAAAATGTTAATCACAGTTAATGGCCCAGGTTTCAACCCGCAACAGCTGGTGCAGCTTAACCTGCTGTCTGAGTAAACGCGCACCTTGACTGGTTGATTAAGTGTGGAGCTCATGACATTATTTTACTGCCTTGCAGTGCTGCTTGCATGTACTGTATTAGGTTGAGATCCTAGGAGGCCTGCTGTCGAGCTGAGGGCCTTTGACAGGTAATGACCATGTTATTAACGGCTATGAGACAAAACACGCACAGTCTGAAAGAATACATTACTGATAGAAGTGCACTGTAAGGGATTCCTGATATGATACAACCATGGAGTTTGTTTATATGAAATTATACCCATGCTGAATTAATAAGTGCCCTGTGCATTAGGCAGCTGTGCAAACATTGCATAGCACAGATGCTGAATAAACAAACTTTGTTTCAGAGGAATAGACTTTGGTTTGCTTTAGAGATTTATTGTTTTCAGGGACATATTTACTCAGATAAATACCCCTGTCAGATTGAAAGCCACTGACTTCCAGACTTCTCTATTCCATTAATTCCATATCCTGTTACAGTTTCAGTGGTTTTTGTTTAATACACACATTTTAAATGTTGTTTTAAAGTACATAGTCTTCCTAATTAAACAGTAGTTGGTGTGCTGATTACTTTTTCTTTACCCTCCATTGGAAGGGCTGGATCGGGGTTGCAGCAATGCAAACCAGACTGGTCCTCTAGTTTGTCTCTTAAAAATGAAATTGGGCACAGCTGATGCACTCAAGACCGCCCCACTTAGCTTTGCAGGCCTTAAACTTGAAATGCAAGCATTGTGTCGCAATGAGACTTGTCACCCAGTACCTTCACTCACAAAGAAAAGTAATGTTTCTGAAAACTTCCACGCCTCATAAACATGCCAACAGTTCGCAAATCCCATTTTGCATCAGTGACAGCGTGACTGTACTATTATCCGTTTAACTTAATCATCTCCCCTGTTTGGAGTGGGAGTAATTTCTCTGTATTTTCTGTTAATGATGTACCTGAGTGTTTCTAAACCCCTGATAGATATGCTGGACAGGATGTCATGCTGCAGAGATATCCAGACAAATTCTGCTCTCCCTGATTTTGTGTGAACCCGTGCTGTCAAGCACAGAACATACACATACAGTAGGTATAAAATAAAGGATTAATTTGACATGTTAACACTGTGTTATAGGAAACCTAGCCATCAGTTGAAAGATGGATTCAAATTAATGCTGTTGAGTTGCCATAATGTAAGCAGTCCTATGATAGTAAAATAAAACACTAAAATGTCAGAGATCACCAGTTTGCATCACAAACTATCTGTCATTCACCCTGAATAGTTCAACTCCCTCAGATAAAAAGAAAGGCTGTCACATAAATGTATTTAACAATTTCAATCCTGTTTTGAATAACACTTATCTTATCTTATGTGGCTTTATTAAGTGTTATTAATCAAATAGTCAGATGTTTTACAGGTCTAGCACATACTAGTACAACAGATGTGGCATTAAAAAATCTTATTTGTTAATTGTTCTCTTCAGTGTTTCTAAAGAAAGAAAAGGGTACAGTACACGATCAGAAAAAATGAAGTAATAGTGCTTTATGTAGTGCTTTATGTTTGCCATCTTTTAAAAAGTCTTTGCAGAGTGAATTTAATATTTTGTGTAAATTGTTTCTAAAAATTAAAAAAGTTAATTAAAGTTGTTTTATAAAGTTCAATTCATATTACACCTCAACTAATCTTTAATATTTAACCAATGTTCATATTAAATTCAGAAGAAATTGAGGGATAGCTCATAAGTTTCCTGAAGCTGAAAACTATAAAACATGGACTGGCCGGAAAGGAATGGAAAAAATGAGAATGATAGCACACAATCAAACCATGTTATTCACTTCTTGAGAAATGGAGTAAAAACCTATGGGCACTCTCTTGTGGGCACCATTTGTTGGCCTGAGACTCAGTGAAATACCTCTAATTGCATCATCGAAAAAAAGGACCTTGAATTGCTCTGCAAAAGTCATCATAGACATCAAAATCATTTCAAAGCAGATGTCTGTGTTTTGGAAGGTTTTCAAGGTCTAAGGGCAGTAATGTGGATGGTAGTTAGGGTTCTGCACTTGGGACTAAAAGGTTGTGGGTTCAAATCCTTGGTGAGTTACTGCTATTGTCCCCTTGATCAAAGTACTTCAGTTGCACTAGTAGAATCTCTAGCTGTTTGAATGCGTGCAAATGTTAGTTATTTTGGATAGAATTATCAGCCAAATAAATTAGTAATTAGGTCACGTTTGGAAGTGGAAAAATGCTAACTTTGTTTGTGGTCAGCGCACAGACACACATCTCAGTCAGAATGGTTTTCATCAGAAAAAAAGGGAGCATGAAGAAGACAACACACATGTGGCCCGATGGTAGATGGGCCTTATGAAACACCCTGGTCTTGATGTTGTCATAGTTGCGGAAAGCTGGTGTTTTGACTGGGGCCATATGGGAAAATTGGACAATCTCACTCTTTTTGATAATGCTTGTTTTTGTAGTGCACTGCCCTCTAACAGTTTGGAAGAAAAGTTATTTGGTAGTTTTCTTTGTCCACTTCAGCTGAACTAAAGACCTTATAATTTGATCGGTTCAGATCCTCATTACTCCATTTTGTTTTATGCTGTACTTTAGAATGATGATGGATAGTTCCTGATCATCGACTTCCAAAAACCAAAAAGACTCCCATGCTCTGCACAATGTTTCAGTGCACCCACATTGCAAATCTTTGCTGTTATTGTTTGATAATGTCTTCAAAGTGTTTCACTTCCAAGAGGAAAGGCAGACAAAAAA